TTGTTGTTGTTGTAGCTGTAGCTGTAGTTGTAGTAGTAGTAGGAGCAGTAGTAGTAGTAGTAGTAGTAGCAGTAGTAGCAGCAGGAGTAGCAGTAGTAGTAGTAGTAGTAGTAGTAATAGTAGTAGTAGTAGTAGTAGTAGTAGTAATAGTAATAGTAGTGTATATATATATATATACATATGTGTGTGTGTGGGTGTAATGTAATATAGTGTAACATGACATAATATCGTAGTAGAATATAATATGATATCATAATGTCTGTAATGTAATATAATGCAATCTTCAATTATTCATTCGACTACAAAGTAAAACAAAAACTATTAGACAATTTAATAATACAGTCTGGTCTAAAACAATACTATATACCATAATATATATATATACATGTGTGTATATATATATATACACTATTACATAATATAATATGCATTTATAAAACATAGTATGAGATATTACAATACAATAAACATAGTTTTAACATCGTTTATTACAAAAACAGCCTAGTATAATATCAAAAAATAGAGAACACTAACATCGTATAATATAGCCTTTGTGCATGTCATGTCGCATCATGTACATGTACATAGAAATAGGTATGTGCTCGTGTATGTGTGTATATATATATACGTATATATATATATAACAGCTACCACTTTTTTACAGTTGACTGACATCCTGCCTGATTTCCCAGCAGGCACGTTACACAAATGTCCTGAAAGATTTCCCATGCCGATGCACTCTTCCCCAGGACCAGACACTTTTTTAGCTTGAGGGGAATTGACAGATATGCATACCACTCGGGAAGAAACTGTGTCAAGGCTGGGTTAGCAGCTTTGCGAGAGCTTGGAACATCAGATGCAGCCGCCGGTGGGGGAAATGGTCGTCAATAAAAGAACTTACTGGAGGGAAGTGCCCTCCGTACCCAGGGTCTAGGTGAGGCCGTTGGCTGTCTTGCATCGTGTCACGGGTTTTCGTGATTGCCCAGCGCCCGAGGCCGACTCCGAAGCCAAGATGACGGCCGGAACTGTGGGGGGGGAGGGGGCAACGAAGCGTAGTGAAGCGGAGGGTGATGTTGAGGGCTCATGAATTCTCCGGCTCATGATTCATTGATCTTTGTTGGGCTCCTCTGGGTTCGTAGGAACGGGAATGAGTTTTCCGCATGCCACAGGCCTTCGCCGAGATATGCTGCCATCGTATCATAGCCCCATCTTATGGCGTGTTTCTGTTGCACCTCGATTTGTAGATGGCATCAAATGAAGATATGCTTACAGTAGTTGCTTCGTCCGGATTCTACGAGCATGATGTGAACCTCATGTCACAAACTCTCGCGTCTCCTGATGCCCTGCGATGTCACATGCAACTCGCACTCCCCACGCCTCATACCACAAGCCCACCCACCCCACCCCATCCGTACTCTGTCGCGTGACGAACTGAAGCTCTCAAGGGCGCTGTGACAGCCCTCCACTTGGCGGCGGCCACCGGCCACACTGCCCCTGCCAAGGCAGCTGAAGGATTCCACTTTCGGTGCTTGCGTGCACAAATGCGGAACGATACACTTAAAGCTTTGACGGTGTTGAGCTTGACAGAAGGTGTTGAACATGCGGTGAGGTTTAAAACTAGAATTCAGATCGAGGCCCCGAGCTTTGTAGGATCCAAGTGGCTTTGCTTGTGTGCGTCCTTCACAATTCACAAGGCGCAGGTCTTGAGTCGTCAAGGACCACGGTTTTCGATTGAATCTAGAACCCTGAAAGAGGGGCTCACATACTAGGCCATAGCCCGCTACAGCCATTACAGCAAATTTCAAGTGCGGTCCGAAGGCACTGCTGTCCTGCCGTGCCTTCGTGGATGCGGTGCGCCCGTCCAGGGTTGGCCATGGTTGTTCTGTCCTGTTCAAGATGTATGGGTTGAGATCGATTCGGAGCCGAATGCCCAGCTAGAGCTGTGCGCGCATAGTACTTGTACAGCTGTGCTTTTCCAGAGGCATCAAGATGCAACTGTTAGAGTTGTTAGAGACTGTCTCGATGGCAGAGGTTATACCTATAGGGCTAGGGCCTGGCATGAGATGAGCCTCTGACTGATTCCAGCATCCTTTACCCGGGCTTCCGTTCAGAATTTTTTGTGGACTACGCCCATGATACCTGCAACGCGAGATGTCGGTCTCCCCTGCCAGTCGGGGATATACGATTTCCAGCCAAACAGAGGTGCAGTGCAGTCCATGGAAATTGTTTGGCTTCTGGTTCTTATTCTTTCCGACTCTGGTTCACTAAAATCGAAGTCCATATCTTTGATGCTGATTTTGGCCTCATATGCGGGGAGAATTTCACATGTAAGAAGCATGGATGGGGCCGTTAAGACTTCCTGATTTTCACACCCACCCAATGGCAAGTCGATCGGGTGGACTTGCGGCCAAGGGGGCCCCCGAGCCTGAGAAAGGAAGAGAAAAGACAAAGCTCCTCTTACTGTCTTACTGAAGAAGACTCCGGGCATCTAAATGCCACCCTCTGTCATGCAAGAATAGGAGGGTCAATGAGACAAGCAACAACAACAACAGCAACAGCCACAGCCACAGCCACAGCCACAGCCACAGCCACAGCCACAGCCACAGCCACAGCCACAGCCACAACCACAACCACCACAACAGCAACAGCAACAACAACAACAACAGCCACAACAACAGCCTCAACAGCAACAGCAACAGCAACCACAAAAGCAAAAAAAATAAAAAGCACAAGCAACAAGCAGGCCGAAGACGGTATAACTGGTATTAGAGCTTTGGGACCCGAGAAGGAAGGGCGTTTTGGCGACATGGTGCCATACATATCCAACGCATCAGCAACGATGTGGTGCACACCAACTTGAGAGTTTATGGTGGATGCTCCTGCCCAATCAGAACCGGACGTGCGACCAAGCTACTGCCCTGACATTGGCCGCTGAACACGGCCGCTTAGCAGAACTTCTTCGGAGCTTCCAGAGCTTCCTTTGCGCTATCCGGTCAGTTTCCATGTCGGGGTCTATGCTGGGTTATGGCTGGTAGCAGACTTTACAGATGGTTTTGGTGTTCCATTGGGATTTCGAGATTTATCTGCGAGACTCATTCCACTACGCTCCACTTGGGTTCCTTGTTGCTCGCGCTCTCGAACTCACATGCTGAAACAGCTGAAGAGCATGCCCTCCGATCTACTTCGCCTCTTCGCCTTTTGCCAAAAGCGTGCTCTTGTGATTGGGCCCGGGATGCCTGGGGCAAGAAGCTCGAATTGACACGACATCCTCGGCCGCAGACCCTCACCGAGTTGTCCGGATAACTTCAGCTACACGTAAGCTCAGTTATTCGAGTTGCAGCTCATGATTACTCTAGCTACTTCACCGCTAACAATCCCCCCCCTCGGCCCTAGACATCCGTAGACTCTGGCTATATTTGACGTTTCCGCCTCTCAACATTAACCGTCAACAGTTCACCATCAACCCAAGCCTTTCGGCCCGAGATCCTGACACCGCGATCCAAGCGCGTAGTTAGACTGAAGGTTTCGCTGATGTGGCGCAGGTCCTGCTCCAGGCCACAACAGCCTCTTCGGTTGTAACATTGTATGTCTGTCTGAGTCCATCTGCAGGCTAAATTGTGCGAGCTTCCTCGAGCCCCGAGTACTTGACGAATTTCCGCCAGCCAGAGCTGTCTGGCTTGGGGAAGGGCCTGGACACAGTTTGGTTTTGGAATCGGGGTCCGAGACGCATTGACACGTACATCCTGAAGATTGCTGAATCCAAATGCACACATCCTTGGCCTTGCAGATCCACAACCGGCAATGTGCAAAACAGCTCCCTCCGAAGAGGATCCCTTGCCGAATGTGTTGGTTTGGGACGAAAATTCCTTAGTAGTTTGCTCGATGCTCGTGATTCGAACTTCAAAGCTCTTGCTCGTAATGGCGCGTAACTTCCGGACCTGCGAGGCTGGTGCGCAGGCGAACTTCCGCCGTGTGGACGGTGTTGCACCGCTGCACCTGGCCGCAGGCCATAGTTCCGAAGTTTGGAGGGTAGCCCCACTGCCACGGCACGAGTTGCCTCTTTTAGCAGTTTGTATGTATGGGACTTTGTATATCATGTGCTGGGATCTTTCTCGCACCGTCGGAGCTCGTCGATTCACTCCTCGCCTGGTCTGTCCGAGAGAAACACCCAACGCATCATATGGAACAGGCTGGAACAGGGCTGAGTACGGGCCGAATTACGTTCTCCAGCATGTGTTCCGCCACTGCTTCCTGTTTATGCTGCTAGGCGCTGGTCACCCTTCCCCAAACTCAGGACCATGGGCGAGCCTAGATATGGATAGATTTCGGAAAGAAAAATCCGAATCGACGCTGCAAGTATTGTGCGAAGCAGGCCTCGGCAACGCTGCGCTTTGCAAGGCCCTCCTGCAGGCCCCGGCTCCCCTGCTTTCTCTAGGGTTGCGGTCTCAGGCACAGGTTGGGGGTGGTGTTTGGGCTGGGCTGGGCTGGACTGGGCGGGGCGAGGCGAGGCGGGGCGGGGCGCGGCGGGGCTGGGGCTGGGGCTGGGGCGGGGCGGGGCGGGGCGGGGGTACTCCGAACAAGGTGTGCTCTAAGTTTTTGGGATTCTTTTGGGCTTTGAAGCCGACAAGCACCCGCCACGAGCTCCCACATCACCGAAGACACGCAAGCATGCAAAATCCACGAGATGTGTCCGATTCTCTACAGGACTTCTCGAGACGCAACTACCTGCTTGCTTCCAAGCGGTGCTTGAGTCCCGTGCCGACGCCATTTTGCTTAAGGGGCCCCTTCGCGCACAAGCTTTCCTCGACACCTGACCGCGGCCCTTTGGAGGGTGGCCTGCCATGAAGGGAAGAGGCATACTACCCCACTGTGGAACTGGGCGAAATGGCCCTGTACTTCCTGTACCTTGACCTCCACGATGGCAAGTTCTTCAGCAGGCCCCAGCAAAAGGGAGTTTCAAGCCGCAGCGTGACCACTCTGTCAAACCGTCGAAGGTCAACACTACACGGGAAGAGCAGTGCAAACTAGCAGGGAAGCTGCGTGACATGGGGGTGTCCTGCAAAGCATGCCTACATACAAGGGCCTTTTCGCCGCAAATCCCGCGACAGCAGGGACACGTGCTACAAGTACAAAGTGACAGGGCAGCTTACTAGCGCGGGGCGACCGTGTGACTTGCACAAGAAGATGGATGAGGACGAACTGGGGGGGAAGCTCAGCAAAGCCCCCAAGGGCAAAGGGAAAAGCAGACCTTTGTCCGACTATGTCAGGTTTGAAGCGGAGCGGGCATGGAACCCTTATACGACCCGAGCCCACTGGATAGGTGGATTGGAACGCCCATCCGACAAAACGGATGGACGGGGAAATACGTCAACCTCATGACGGGGGAGGCCCTGGATGCGGAAGCCACAGACGATGACAGGCGCTACATGCAAAGGCACAAAGAGCGACGAGACACAGGTCGAAGAGCGGACCGGGTGATGGCTATTGTGTGGAAGCATTACCCACGCATGCAGGAGCTTCGCATCTATGTGGGGAAGTTGCCGGGGAAAACTTCTGAGCTCCGTAAAGCTCAGCCAAAAGAAGTCTTCAAAGAGGCTATGGAGGAAACACAACGCCAAGAGAGGAAAAAAGCGAAGAAGCAGGCCAAGAAGGAAGCGAAGACGTCCAGGAGCACATGAAGCAGAGCCGGAACAGGAATGACCAGTACACGCCGAGATGTGCAGGGGCAGCAAAAGTTGGAGGGAGTGCGATGGGGGTTGTTGTCATCTTTAGTCTTGCTATGCTTTGTTGTCCACTTCTTACTTCACACTCCCCGGAGAGTTCAACACTTCAGCTCGCAACACCGAGCCTAATTACTGCAACTAGACGGGCCGCGGAGCCAGACACCATCTGCCGTTGGGGGAGCCACATGACCCCGATTAAATGCAAGCCTTTTCCGAACACTTAGCCTTCCAAGTAGAGATCCAGCTGCAAATTCGTACAACACTGAAGTGGGGAACCCTGCTAGAGGCTCGGCTTAGAGGCTAGACTACACAAAAAGGGGGAACCAACCACCTGTCCTCGTGACCTGCAGAGTTTAGTTTGATTTTTCGGTGTTGCTGTGTCTTCGTTACCTGCACCGTTCTTGTTAAGGGGGTTGCTTCTGAAGGTGAATCCCAACAGACAGACTACCCTCGCGAAGCAAACTCTTCTAGTTGGCGACTAGGGAAGGGCCGTAGGGGGCGCGGGGATGAGGCCGGGGTGCGGGCTAAAGTACAGGGTCAGGGTTGGGTCCACGACAGCAGCATCCCCACCTTTCATTCCGACACCTTTCCCTACGAAACCAAACAGGGAGGGGGGCGCCTCGGCGCGGGTCAGCATTGCTACCCTGAGCCCAACTGAAGGAAGGAAGGAAGTGACCTCACACGCAGTCAGAATCATAGTTCCCAGTGCCCGCGCTCCCGTATAGTCGAGACAAGGGATGGGAGTGTATGCCGCGAAACCCCAGAATCCAACCTTGATGCGGGGCGGAGTGCTGAACAGGGCAGAATATCTGTTCGCAAACTTGGGGCGAGCCTGTTGGTGCTGTTGTTCGAGCGTTGGGGGCCTTGCTGTTGCCTCCGTTCCCGACCCCAATATGTCGGGGTTGCGCTACGGCTACCACCTAGCTGCCGGCCAACCTACACGCGTCCGCTGCGGGGGCTCACTTTCATGCCCGGTGAAAGAAGCCAACGAAATTTAAAGTACGAAAGTTGGGGAGATAGCAGTGGCATGATGACTGAAACGTGCCTCCTCCCTCGACTTATGACTTAAGACTTATGATACCTCGTTTCACGCCTCTCCACACAAGACCCGACAACACGGGCGCGACCTCAAACTCCTCCTGGCGGAGGGACGGGAGCGGGGGCAGAGGGGAGACAGGGCAGACAGGGGAGAGGGGAGAGAGGGGAGAGGGGAGGGAGAGGGGAGGGGAAGGGAGAGAGGGAGAGGGAGAGGGAGAGGGAGGGGGAGGGGAGGGGAGGGGAGGGGGAGGGGGAGGGGGAGGCCCGCGCTCTGGAAGCTCGCGGGCAGCGGCCCCTCTTGCCGGCCTTTTAAGGGCGGCCCCCGCACCATGAGTGTGAGTGTGTGTGTGTGTGCCTACCTACCTACCTACCTACCTACCTACCTACCTACCTACCTACCTTCCTACCTGCCCACCTACCCACCTACTTACCTACCTACCTACCTACCTACCGAATCCCACCAGACCAGCCACACCGCCACCCAGCACCATTCCAGCCACCTCCAGCCACCCCCCTACCCACCTGCAGCCACCCTCC